TGTGGCTCAGCCTGTAATCCCGCACCTTGGGAGGCTGAGGTGAGTGGATTGCCTGAGCCTACTGCTTTGAGACCCGCCTGGGCAAATTGGTGAAACCTCATCTCTACAGAAAATTAGCCGGGCGTGGTAGCGCGCGCCTATAATTCCAGCTACTTCGGAAGGCTGAGGCGGAAGGATCGCCGGAGCCCAGCAGGTTGAGGCTGCGGCGACAGAGTGAGACTCCAACTCAAAAAAAAGAAAAAAAAAAGAAATTATAAGCCTTCAGGATCCCTCTCATCCCCATGCTCTGAGATCAATCTGGGTGCAATAATGTATAGTTATTGTTGTTGTTGTTGTTTGAGTCGGAGTCTCAGTCTGTGGTGCAGCCTGGAGTGCAGCGGCACACTCATGGCCACTGCAGCCTCAACCTGCTGGGTTCAGGTAATCCTTCCGCCTTAGCTTTCCAAGTTGCTGGAATCGCAGGCATGTACTACCATACCCGGCTAATTTTTTTATTTATTGCAGAGACAAGGTCTCACCAAGTTGCCCAGGCTGGTCTTGAACTCCTGGGCTCAGGCAATTCTCTCGTCTCCGCCTCCCAAAGTGCTGAGATTACAGGTGTGAGCCACCGCGCCCAGGGGAATATTGTATAGTTTTTGTTTTGTGGTTTTCTTTGAGTTGGAGTCTATCTCTGCTGCCCAGGCTGGAGTGCAGTGGCACTGCCACAGCACACTCATGGCAGCCTCAACCTGCTGGGTTCAGGTGATCCTTCTGCCTCAGCCATCCAAGTAGCTGAAATCACAGGCATGCACCACCATGCCAGGCTAATTTTTCTAATTCATTGTAGAGACAGGGTCTCACCAAGTTGCACATCTCAGTTCACACCAACCACGTTTCAAATGGTCAGTAGTCACATGCGGCCAGTGGTGACTATGTTAAACAAGCACAGGTAGATTTTAATCCCAGATCTGCCATCTGTACCTTTCAGCCATTAGTCTTTCTGTGCATCAGTTTCCTCACCCAGGTGGAGATGATATGAACCCAGGTTACTGTGAGAATTAAGCGACATAGTGCCCACATTTATACTTGCTAATTATGAGTTCCATGTGGACTACGTGTTGGGCATTGTTATAAGCAAAACATACTCATTTTGCATCACTATTGAGTCTGTAAACTGGGATTACTAATATCCCCCAATCTCAATCCTACACGAAGTCCTCAAAGTTCTTTCCTCCCTGATTTTTGTTTGTTTGTTTGTTTGTGTCATAGTCTCACTCTGTCGCCCAGTCTGGGGAGGAGTGTCGGCCACCGCAACCCTGATCTGCTGGGCTCAGATGATTCTTCCACTTCAGCCTTCTAAGTAGCTAGAATTACAGGTGCAAGCCTGGCTAATTTTTTGGTTTATTGTAGAGACGAGGTCTTGCCAAGTTGCTCAGGCTGGTCTTGAACTCCTAGGCTCAGGCAATCCAATCCTCTTGCCTCCTCCTCCCAAAGTGCTGGGATTATAGGCGTGAGCCACCATGCCAGGCTTGTTGTTTGTTTAATTTCCATGAGTCCTTCCTACCTAGGGGAAGGTAAGGTAAGCAAGACCTCAGGCAGGAAGCAAAGGACACAGGTCTGGGGGGTAAGGGGGAGAGTCAGTGGCAGCTCTGGGGTGGTCACCCCGGACTCAGGCATCCTCAGGAGGGGGGCCAGACTAGGCAATACTGGATACTGTCTGGGGGAAGGGGCAGAACCCCAATTTCCCCAAGACTCCTCATTCCTCCGTTGTTTTTTTTCCCTCATTTTTCATTCTTCCCTTTCCCATACTTGCAAGATTCCACTCCTAACCCCTTTCATAATCCACTCCCGGGTTCCCAGTCCCAGGTCCTTTTACTCAGAGTTTGGAAAACCCCCAGCTCTTCTTCCTCCTTCCTATAGCTGGGGGCAGGGTGCTCCTGTTAGTCACGTGCCTCTAGCTTTAGAAGACTCTAGACCCAAGGGTCCTGCCCGTCTCCCTAAGACCTTATCTTTCCTACCATCTGTGTCTTTTTTTCTTCCCCAAACGGAACCCCCTGCCCTATAGCCGTTTAATTGCAAAAGTCAGGCCGTTTGTGGCAGACCACAAGACAGCGACCCCTTTCATTTACCAGTTGAGAGGGGAGGCTGCATGCTGGCTACTCTCCCTACCCCCTACCCTAGGAGCCCCAGCCTACAGTCACATCATTGAGCCTTCTGCGCTTCCTCCTCTCTGGCCCCGGACAGCTCTAAAAACTTTAAAAGCATTTCTGCTGGGTGGCATCTGGCCAGGGTTGCCCCACTTGGCCACTCAGGAGCGTCTGTCACCTCAGAGAGGCTAAGTGACTTGCCCGGGTCACACAGCAGCAGTCTGACAGGCTGCCAGGACACTAGGGGGCGGAGGAGGGAGAGCTGGCACCCTTCCCACGTGCCTGCATGGCTGCAGCACCGAGGTGCAGCCAAGCCCCAGGATCGCAACCCCTGAGCTTTGCCCCTTGGTGGGCGGGGGTGAGGGCGCGGTGCGGGCAGCAGCGTTTGGGTGGAGGTTCCAACAAATGCAGGGAAAGAAGTGCTAGAAAAGCCTTGTCCACCCCCTCCACGTATAGGAACTAGGAGGAGCAAAGATAGGGCAGGAGCAGGGCCCGGTCCCTGGTCTTGGTCCCGGTCCCGGTCCCGTGCAGACACCAGCACTCGCGCGGGTTCTTTAAACGCCCAAAAGGGGAGCGTCGCGAGCGAGTGAGGGCGGGTTGGGCTGAGGTCTGGTCACATGACCCGGCCTGAAGGGCTCGCGGCCCCCACCCCATCAGCGGGCGTCCCCCACATCGCGTGGTCGATCCTCATTGGCTGTTGGTACGGCCAATAGAAATCGGCCATCTGGGAACCCAGCGTTCCGAGGTACAGCCTAACATGCTGAACCGACGGAAGTCCAATAGAAAGGGACGACCGTGAGCAAAGGCCAATGATAAGGTGCGGAGGGCGGGCCCAAGCGGCGGGCCATGCTGGGTTGAGAGGCGGGCAGGTATAAAAGTGCAAGGCGGGCGGCGGCGTCCGTCCCCACTGCAGAGCTGCTGCCGGAGAATCGTTTTAAAGGGCCCGCGCGCCGCCGCCCCCTCGGCCCGCCATGCTGCTATCCGTGCCGCTGCTGCTCGGCCTCCTCAGCCTGGCCGCCGCCGAGCCCGCCGTTTACTTCAAGGAACAGTTTCTGGACGGAGGTAACGCCTGGTCTCGTCTCGAGGCCTCCCAGACGACGCGGCCGGCCCCCCAGCCTCGATCTGCGTTGTCGCCTGTAATTACCCCTCAGAGGGCCAACACTGTGGCCGCCGGGGACTAGAGCCGTGGGCGATCCCTCTTCTACGTTCCTGGGGAGCGTGGAAGGCGCAGCAGGCTCCCGCGGCGGGAGTTAGGGTTTAACTGAGGATCTCTTAAGCCGCCTGAGGTGTCAAGCTAGAGGTTGGCGTGAGGAGAGTCGGGGGATCTCAGATCCTTTCCTGTCACCAATGGCTCCCGACATGTTTGGTCGCGGGGGAGGGGGGGTGTCAGCACGGCAGCGCTGACCTGCCTCTCTGACCCCCTAGATGGATGGACCCAACGCTGGATTGAATCCAAGCACAAGTCAGATTTTGGCAAATTCGCTCTCAATTCCGGCAAGTTCTATGGTGACCAGGAGAAAGATAAAGGTAAGAGCCCGGGCGTGGGCACTCAGATCCAGGAGGACTTCCTTGTGGAAGCGGTAGTCGGCACACCGAGCCTGGACAGTCTCCCAGGAGCGGAGCAAGGGAGGTGGAGGAAGGGAGAATTGCCTGTATCCCCAAGGTCTAGGGTCCTCGGGAGACGGGACCCAACGGTGACCTCACTGCCACCCAATCTCAGGATTGCAGACCAGCCAGGATGCCCGCTTTTATGCTCTGTCGGCTAGATTTGAGCCCTTCAGCAACAAGGGCCAGACTCTGGTGGTGCAGTTCACGGTGAAGCATGAGCAGAACATCGACTGTGGGGGCGGATACGTGAAGCTGTTTCCTGATGGTTTGGACCAGGCGGACATGCACGGAGACTCAGAATACAACATCATGTTTGGTGAGGGGCTGGTGCTGACCTCTTTTGCATTAGTTGGAGGGAGACTCCACGGGTTCTTTATAACCCATGAAAGTGATTTTGAGAGTATAGAAAGCCGCCTGAATAATCACGTTATATTTTCTGATAGGGAAGAGGTGCTTAGGGGACAGATCACATTTAGCAGGAACTTATTGCATTATGGTTGCACTTCTAGACTGTTAAAATGGTATGTATGTAGGTATTTTCCAGTTTTACAAAGCAGGATGCTGAGTTCTAGATCACTTGTTTTTTGCCTTTTAACTTAAGGACCCGCCCACAGCCCATTCAGGACAGAATCAGGGTCTGAGCCTTATCTTTTCAGCCTTAACAATCCCGAGTTTAAGAACCAGGTCTTCAGGCAACCCCTTTGGGTCCCCCTCACTGTGGGAGCTTTTCTGTCCTCTCAATAAATCTTGCTTTCTCACTTAAAAAAAAAAGAAAAAAAGAACCAGGTGTTCCTTTTGTAAAGAGTGGGTGAGGGCCTCTAAATGGTGTGCAATCTCCGACTCTTAACTTGATCTGCTTCCCACCTAGGCCCTGACATCTGTGGTCCTGGCACCAAAAAGGTTCATGTCATCTTCAACTACAAGGGCAAGAATGTGCTGATCAACAAGGATATCCGTTGCAAGGTGTGCCTGGGGGTGGTGGCAGATGGCAGTCATGGGAGACTCAGAGGTCTGGGACTCAGAGCCGAGTGGGGGGGGGCATGCTCATCTCCTGTCCTCTTCAGGATGATGAATTTACACACCTGTACACACTGATTGTGCGGCCGGACAACACCTACGAGGTGAAGATTGACAACAGCCAGGTGGAATCGGGCTCCTTGGAAGATGATTGGGACTTCCTGCCACCCAAGAAAATAAAGGATCCTGATGCTTCAAAGCCAGAAGACTGGGACGAGCGGGCCAAGATTGATGACCCCACAGATTCCAAGCCTGAGGTTGGTGCTTTGGCAGGGTCTCTCCACTTTGAGGGATGTGGAGATGAACTCGGCCACCTCTGACCTCTTCATGTCCCCCAGGACTGGGACAAGCCTGAGCACATTCCTGACCCTGATGCTAAGAAGCCTGAGGACTGGGATGAAGAGATGGATGGAGAGTGGGAACCGCCAGTGATTCAGAATCCTGAGTACAAGGTGAGCTTGGCTCTGAGCCTGGCTCAGGCTCACAGTGGGGAATGCATCAACCTCGCTCACCCTGTGGTGTCCTCCTTCCACAGGGCGAGTGGAAACCCCGGCAGATTGATAATCCAGATTACAAGGGTACCTGGATCCACCCGGAAGTTGACAACCCTGAGTACTCTCCTGATCCCAGCATCTATGCTTATGAAAACTTTGCTGTACTGGGCCTGGATCTCTGGCAGGTGAGACATGGCAGATCCTCAAGTGCTCAGGGTCAGCCAAGAGGAAAGCATAGGATTCAAACCCTGGCAGATCTGACCCAAACAGTGCTTTTTCTTCCTGGTCTGTCCCTGAGGGGTCCTCACAGCAACCCCTTTGAGGTTCTATTTATGTGCTAAGTATTTTTTCGCAAATCAACTTAACTACCCCTAAGTACCTAGAAGGTGGTCAGATACATTAGCAAATTGGGTTAGACCAGGTGCAGTGACTCATGCCTATCATTCCAGCACTTTGGGAGACAGAGGCAAGAGGACTGCCTGAGTCCAGGGATTTGAGACCAGCCTGGGTAACTTGGTGAGACTTCATCTCTACAAAAAAATTTAAAAATTAGCCAGGCATGGTAGCTGACTGTGGTTCCAGCTATTAGGAAGGTTGAAGCGGAAGGATCACCGGAGCCCAGCAGGTCAACACCGGGATGGCTGTGAGTGTGCCACTCCAGCCAGGCAACAGAGTGAGGTTCCGACTCAAAAAAGACAAAAATTCAGTTTCACCCAACTTTGATTCTTTTTTTTTTTCTTTTTTTGAGTTGGAGTTCCAAGTAGCTGGCACTATAGACACACACCACCATGCTTTGCTAATTTTTGATTTATTGTAGAGATGAGGTCTTGCCAAGTTGCCCAGGGTGGTCTCGAACCCGCAGGCTCCCAAAGTGCTGGAATTATAGACATCAGCCACCACACCTAGCCTGAATTTTTGTCTTTTGGTCACTGAGGTACCTTCTACTCTTAGGATAGTTCCTGGCATTAATAGGTACCTGAAAAATATCTGAACCAAGAGACTAAGTCTTAGATGAAGACACCTAGGTGCAGAGAAGTGAAATTGGTAGCCCAGGTCATATACAGCCCCAAGTCAAGAAATCTAGGTTTAGGGAAGTGAAATCAGTAACCCCAGGTCATATAGAAAGTGGCAGGGCTGGGGTTTGAACCCATGCAGTGCAGCCCAACCCCATAATCTCTGTCTCCTTAGCTGCGGTGTCAGCAGCGTTAATGCTCATCTGGACAGATGCAGGCAGCAGGATGTAGTGGTTATAGGAACACAGTTGGGAGCGGTGTCCAAACCAAGGGCTATTGGCTGTCACCTCTGAAAAACCTCCCTCCATTCTTCCCCCAGGTCAAATCTGGCACCATCTTTGACAACTTCCTCATCACCAACGATGAGGCTTATGCTGAAGAGTTTGGCAACGAGACGTGGGGCGTCACGAAGGTGAGGCCGGTCCCAGTTCTGATTTGGGTGGTGGGCAGGGCTGGCAGGGGTGCTGGTGCTGACGTGTTGGTCTGTGCGTGCAGGCAGCAGAGAAGCAAATGAAGGACAAGCAAGATGAGGAGCAGAGGCTGAAGGAAGAGGAAGAGGACAAGAAGCGCAAGGAGGAGGAGGAGGCTGAGGACAAGGAGGATGAGGAGGACAAAGATGAAGATGAAGAAGATGAGGAGGATAAGGAGGAAGACGAGGAGGAAGATGCTGCCCGGGCCAAGGACGAGCTGTAGAGGCCTCGCCTCCCGCCTCCAGGGCTGGACTGAGGCCTGAGTGCTCCCGCCGCAGAGCCGGCCGCGCCAAATAATGTCTCTATGAGACTCGAGAACTTTCCTTTTTTTCCAGGCGGGTTTGGATTTGGGGTGGATTTTGGTTTTGTCCCCCCTCCCCTACTTTTTTTTTTTTTTTTTACTGGTGTTTTGTCTTTGATTCTCAGCCCTTGCCCCTGGTTTTCATCTCTTCATTGACATCTTTCCCTGCCTCTGCCCCCTTCTCTTCCTGAATCCCTTAGCTCCCCTCTAGCCCAGGGGCTGCAGTATGGAGGAGAAGCTACAGGCCTGAGATTCCATCTGCTCTTTTCCTGGAGCCCAGAGGGGGGCAGGAGAAGGGGTGATGACCCCAGCTCCCCAGCACTGAGGAAGAATGGGGTTCTTCCCATCTCCCCCTTCTCTTTCTTCCCTGACTGGGCCACTTCTGGATGGGGCAGTGGGACCCAGCTCAGCTCACACTGAGAATGTAAGAACTACAAACAAGATTTCTATTAAATTAAGTTTTGTGTCTTCCTCCTATGTCTCCTTCTGGGGAGAACAGATACCAAAGAATCATAGGTGACTGTTTTGGAGGGTGTGGCTCCCAAGAAGGCTCATTTTTCAGCTGTTGCTAAAGAGTTGGCTGGGTATTCCACAGAATTATGGGGGCCTTTATTTACCCTATAATCCCCAAACCAATGAGAGAATGACTGTTGCTGCTGTAAATATTTCACATATTAACTCACTGGATCCTTGCACCTAACTGGTAAGTTTTGGTTCTAGTGCCAGTCTGACTGGGAAGACAGATGTCCAAAACTTAAAACTTTTTTTTTTTAGTTGGAGTCTCACTCTGTCACCCAGACTAGAGTGCAGTGGCCAGTCCCGGCCACCGCAGCCTTGACCTGCTGGGCTCCGGCAATCCTTCCACCTCAGCCTTCCAAGTAGCTGGAACTACAGGCATGCGCTACCACACCCGGCTAATTTTTGTTTTATTGTAGAGATGAGGGCTCGTCAAGTTGCCCGGGCAGGTCTCGAACCCGCAAGCTCAGGCTGTCCACTCACCTCAGCCTCCCAAGGCGCAGATTACAGGCTGAGCCACTGAGCCCAGCTCGAACTCACATCTTAGTCTCTGTTGCATACGTGTATATTTTGCAGAGCCATATGTAACCCCCCCTTTTTTTTTTTGAGACACTGATGTCTGTGACCCAGGCTGGAATGCAGTGGCACAATTATAGCTCACTGTAATCTCAAACTCCTGGTTTCATGCAGTTCTCCCTTCTCAGCCTCCCAGGCAGCTGGGACAAGTGCATGCCACCATGCCTAACTGTAGAAATGGAGTCTTGCCATGTTGCCCAGGCTGGTCTTGAAATCCTGGCTTCCCAAAGCATATTGGGATTATGGCATGAGCCACTGTGCCACTTGCCTGTTAAAGAGCAAAACTACATAGGGTCAGTGAGTAAACATGTATGCTTACCAGGCACGGTGGCTCATGCCTATAATCCCAGCACTTTGGGAGGCCGAGGTGAGAGGATTGCCTGAGCCCACGGGTTTGAGACCAACCTGGGCAACTTGGTGAGACCTCATCTCTACACAAAATCAAAAAATTAGCCAGGGGTGGTGGCATGTGCCTGTAGTTACAGCTACTTGGAAGGCTAAGGTGGAAGGATCACCTGAGTCTAGCAGGTTGAGACTGTGGTGGCCAGGAATGTGTCACTGCACTCAAGCCTGGATGACAGAGTGAGACTCAAAAAAATACATATGTATACCAACCAGTGGTGTTAAAAGCTATCAGTTAATTTTATAACCAAGGAGATAGGCTCAGAGGTGATATGTAACATGCAAAGGGACCCATTATCTTCAGGGTCAAGTTGGGAAAGAGGTTGACCCAAGGGAGGGAGGAGAGATGGGAGATGGCCTGGGACTACTGAGGCTGGCCAAAGCACTCTCTGTTGGGGTTCGTGAGGTTCCCATTCATGTGCGCTAGAAGATAGGAAGTCTGTTCCTTGTTGCAGGAGAGGTAAGGATTCCTCAACTGGCCCTGGCCAACTCTGGTGGAAGTTTCTAGAATCAGGGCTTACAGTGGAGGAGGATAACAGGTGGTACAGTTGGACAGTGGATGAGGTGACTACTTAATACCTGGCTAACACATATGGTTGTGCTGAGAAGAGCGCGTCTGGAGGATAATGAATGGTTCAGGACATGGAAATGTTGCCCCAGCCTCTGGCCTCCCTCTGGTCACCCCTCCCATACTCCAGCAACTAGCTAGGAGACCCAAATTCAGCCTCACCTCCACCCAGCCCCTCTTGGCAAACCAACTCCTCCTGTTCCTTAGACTAGCCTCTTTCATGCTTCCATTCCTCCAGAGATCCTGTGGCCCTGCCCAACCCCAGTGGGAAGTCTCCAGGATTGATGCATCCAGGAAGAGTTATGGAGCAAACTCTATTCAATATAGGGAGGCTTTGAAAGTTAACATCTGCTGGGCACGGTGGCTCATGCCTGTTATCCCAGCACTTTGGGAGGCCGAGGTGAGAGGATTGCCTCAGTCCAGGGGTTTGAGACTAGCCTGGGCAACATGGTGAGACCTCCTCTCTATGATAAGTAAAAATAACGGCATGGTGGTGTGTGCCTGTAGTTTCAGCTATTTGGAAGGCTGAGGTGGAGGGATCGCCTGAGCCTAGCAGGCAGAGGCTGCGGTGGCTATGAGACTGCACACCACCCTGGGTGACAGAGTGAGACTCTGACTCGGAGAAAAAAAAAAGAAAAAGAAAACATCTTCGTTACATATTTTTGGGTCAGATTGGGGATAGTGGGGTGAACAAAGCGATGGAAGACCCATGAACTAGAACCGTAGGTTCATTCAAAAAATCCAGATCTCCCCCAAGGATGAATGAATGAGGCCACAAATGGCCCTGTGCCCCAGCTTAAACATTTGAAAAAAAAAAAAAATTTTTTTTTCTTGAGTTGGAGTCTCACTCTGTCGCCCAGACTGGAGTGCAGTGGCACACTCCTGGCCACCGCAGCCTCGACCTGCTGGGCTCCGGCGATCCTTCTGCCTCAGCCTTCCAAGTAGCCGGAATTACAGACGCGCGTTGCCACGCCCGGCTAGTTTTTTTTTTTTCATTTATTGTAGAGATGAGGTCTCGCCAAGTTGCCCAGGCGGGTCTCGAAGATCCCGCGGGCTCAGGCAATCCACTCACCTCAGCCTCCCAAAGCGCGGGATTACAGGCTGAGCCACCGACCCCGGCCAAAATTTACAAATTTCTGATGACCTTTCCGGTGTTATTTCTAGTGTTGAGTAACTATCACTTTGGAACAAAGATTTCTTTACGGAGGACGTGCAAATCAATGTCTATAGCATGTATGGATGCACAAGCAAGTCTGTTCAACGTCAAAAAACTAATTTGGGCGCGAAAAAGTGGGAAGGGACGTCGGGGCCGTTTTGCGTTCACATGACGTCACCGCTAACGGGCATGGCGTCATTCTCTGGAAGCCACAGGACAAATGTTTGGGCCGAGCTAGAAGCCCCCACCCCTCCCGCAAAGCAGAGTTTAGTCTGCGCATGCCTGGCCCGAGAACGCGATCGTGCGCATGCCTAGAAAGGCCGGGGAGGGGGCGGTGAATGCAGGTCACGTGCGCTGGTGGACAGCGCGCGCATCGCCTGCCCCGGAAGCGGTCGACGCGCGGCGCGGCTGGGCGCTAAGATGGCGGCGGCGTGAGTTGCATGTTGTGTGAGGATCCCGGGGCCGCCGCGTCGCTCGGGCCCCGCCATGGCCGTCACCATCACGCTTAAAACGCTGCAGCAGCAGACCTTCAAGATCCGCATGGAGCCTGACGAGACGGTGTGGGCCGGGCTGGAGCTCGGGGGCGGGAGCGACGGG